CCGCTTCCTCACCGATCATGTCACGGACGTCCAGCTTGGTGAAGTAGTCTGTAGTGAATTCACCCTCCTGGATGACGACATCATCTAGCATTCTCTTCTGGTTTGCCTTCCGGAGAATGTTCGATTCGATGGTATACTCCGAGACGAACCGGTAGATGTGGACGTCGCGCGTTTGTCCAATACGGTGGCACCGATCTTGGCATTGCTTGTCCATGGCCGGATTCCAGTCAAGATCGTAGAAGATCACAGTATCAGCGCCCGTCAGGTTGATACCCAAGCCACCGGATCGGCTGGACAGAATGAACACTAGGATGCGATCGTCGTTGTTGAAGCGGTCGGTCAGAATCTGGCGCTGCTCCACTTTGGTCGTACCGTCTAGTCGCAAATACCGGTGCCCATGGATGTTGAGGAACTGCTCCAGAATGTCAAGCATTTTGGTCATCTGCGTGAATATCAAGGCTCGGTGACCACCGGCTTTAAGATCCCGTAGCAGCTTATCGAGCCTTTGCAGTTTCCCACAGTCATATTGCAGTAGCCTCTTGTCTGGAAAAGCGATTGAAAGACGCATCTGGGCCTCGTGGAACGGGTCATAAGGAGGGAAACGCTCCTTTTCCGTCAAGTAACGGGTTTCAATAGGAGTCAAAGCTGCCTCTGTGATACCAGAGGCAACTGCAGCTGGCGTAACACAGGCGAAACGTCTGACGTAACCATCCATGGCTTGGGACCGCTCTTCGATGGACAAAATCATCGATGCGAGAACGGATGACCGATTCGACAACCACTCCGCGAGAGACTGCGTTTGGGGACGACCACCCAGAGTTGGTTTCTGCTTGCTATCCGCAGTGAGAAATTCGACGAGACTGGTTCCATACACTGGTCGACGGCCATGGCGCTTCGATTCGAAGTAGAGACACCGTTCCAATTCCGCCATCCTGCGTTTTCTGGCGTCGTTCTCCAATGCCTCGAGTGTGGACTGCACCGTAGACCCGTCGAACATCATTTGCCAATTCGTGCGCTTGTACTGACGTTCCCGAAGCATGTTGAAGGGTCCGTAAGCCATAAGCCTAGTACTATCGTCTGCCAACCTTCGTGAGATATCTTCTCTCGAGATAGGAACCAGGTTGAGAAAGTCCAAATCCAGCTTCGTAAGGGGATGTTCATAGAGCAACCGCCGCCGAACGAGTTGTTCCTTGCTCGCATATTCGGTGGCCACGGAATGAGGCATCACAAATGACGTCGATATCTGCCGAGTCTCAAAGAGATCCGGGTGGTTGCAAACCTTCCGCAGCTGCATCAGACAATTGATAATAGAGAGGTAATTGCCAGATGCAAGAGTTTCTTTGGTTTGGGCCATGGACATAAACCCATCGTATAAGAACCTCTGCCTTTTCGAAAGTCGGCAATAAACGACGTGCTCGTACTTTGCTGGCATCTGCTTCTCGACGTCGGCTTTGAGGCGGCGCAAGATGTAAGGACGCAAGATGGTATGGAGTTTCGTAACCACCCGTTTTGTCTCATCATCCATTGTTTCTCTGCCATGCTCCAAGATTTGCTCTACAGGGCGGCGGAACCATTCAGAAAAGTTTCTGAGATCGGCAAAACCCTCAATGCCAGTCCCGTCACCATCAGAAGGCATCAAGAAGAAGAGGAGGGACCATAGCTCGGTGAGATTGTTCTGGAGCGGTGTACCTGTAAGAAGCAGCCGTGCGCGGGTCCTAAAAGTAAGCAGTGTCTGCCACTTTTGAGAGCGGAAGTTCTTGATATTATGAGCTTCATCAAGAACCAGATAATGCCAATTTCTTCTTTTCAGGACCTGCTGGTCCTGCAGCACCAGTTGATAAGAAGTGATCAATACATTCCAGCTCGTATCGTCGGTCCAACCCTTGCGCTTCTGCCTGCGTTCCTCTATGCTGCCATAGTAAGTCATGATCTTGAAACCAGGACACCATTTCTTGAATTCCATCTCCCAATTGAGAATCACGCTCGTTGGAACGACAACCAAATGTGGACCCCAAACCTCATGTTCCACGGCCAGGTGTGCAAGTAAAGCAATTGTCTGAATGGTCTTGCCAAGACCCATTTCATCGGCAAGAATACCATTGATGTGGTTGTTGTAGAGTCCAGCAAGCCAGTCCAACCCATAATGCTGATACTCTCGCAGAGTTCCCCGGAGTAGATGCGGTATCGGCGTCTTCAACCCAGGAGCGGGGGATTCACTTGGCTGAGGCGGCTTTTCCCCGGGCGCTTCGAAAGAAGAAACAGACTCGGGTTCAGAGGGTTTTGTTGCAAGCGTACCAGGAGATGCTTCGCTAGATGCCCCTCCATTCTGGCGAAGTTCTTGCTCATCCAAGTTATTGATCGAAGGGGGAGGCTGCTGGCGATGACCTTCTTCCATCGCATCATCCCGTGTGTCAATGGCAACCGGATCTTCAAGAGGGGCTGAATCTTCGAGGTGTGCTGGACCTTCGGGAGGAGCAGCAGCAGCCATGTCGGTATCGACCACTTCAGCTTGGCCAGCTTGCTTTTCATCAGGAGTTTCGGTTACAGGAGAAACCTCGGCCGTTGCCTGAGAGATAGATCCCGAGTTCGAAGGACCATTCGGAACCAGAGAAACTTCATCCGCATCCTCCAGTTCCTCATCGTCGTCCTCGTCGGCTGAAACGGATTGCCCGTCATCGTGGAAACCAGGGCCATCTTCATGATTCAGATTAGCTAAAGAATCATCACCTTCTTCATCGTCAAAGTGGTGAGCATCATCCAGCACACGATCTTTTGATGAGAAGAATCCTAATAGCCCCGGTCCATCATCGCTTTCCTCATCCGAGTCTGTGTCGTCGGCTTCTCCATCCTCATCACTGTCGCCCATATCATCATCCATGTCCGTAGATTCGTCTTCGCTATCGTCAAGGAGCATTGGATCGACTTCGTCAAGTTCAATCTGCTCCAGCGGTGTTTCGCCTTGAGAATGGTTGATGTCCTCCATTTTCTGAGGTATATGTGAGGTATGTGTGCCATTGGAAGACTCGCTATTGTCGGAAGTCACAGATTCACGGTCTGAAACCAAAGTGGATTGGGGCAAATCAGCATACTTCTGCCGGAGCTCCTCCGCTGTCAAACCCTCATCATCGTCAACTTCGTCTTCATCCTCAGTTTCCGAAACCGTAGAGGACATGTTGCTTTCATCCTCTTCCTCATCGCTGGAAGTTACATCCGTTGCACTCTCTTCAGCATCTGTTGAATCAGGGAAATCGCTGCCAGTGTCTCCAAGAATTTCCAGACGCCTTTTCTCGAACAGCATGGTAGATTGTTTGATTGCGCGATCTAGAGCCCGCTGGTCCTCCACTTTCCGCTCTTCCTCCCAGCGTGCGAGACGCATCCGATCAACCTCCGCCCGGGCCAAGTCGAACATTTTCTGAAGATCCTTAGCCAGTTGCTTGCGCTTTCCGCGCACCTCTTCCTGTTGTTCTCTAAGAATATCCTCTGGGCGCTTATTGCGCTTCCTCCACGCGTCAGCACACCACTGAGCAAGAAGTCTCGCTGTATTGCGATGGCGTCGGTGCTCCTGGTCAAGAAGCTTCTTGAAGTACAAGGCATGAGCGACGAGGTGGTCTTGATGTGAATATTGTTGCGGTGGTTCTTCCTGTTGCTCCGGTAAGTATGCGGAACATACTTCAGGGCTCAGAAGACCGCCAGGCTCTGTGGCTTCCAAGACTCGACATCTCTTCCGAGCTTCCTCGAGTGCTGCCTCGGGCGTAAGGACTGCACCACCTTCTATTCTGCCTTCGCGGCTCTCAAGCCATTCTCTGAAAGAATTATATTTCCGGGGAGGAACCACATGGGAAGGATGCTGAAACCCAATAACAGGCTTCTTGACTTTAATTCGCAGCCTCGGCACCCGCTGACCCTGGTCGTCTCCCAATTCAGTCTCACCCCCGATATCATTCCTCAACTCATCAATTCCGATTGTCGGCGTTGAAGTGACATTCGAGGGGGACCGGTTCGATCGTGCCTTGTTCGACGTAGGGCCATTAGGGACTGAAGTAGCCGAACTTTGAGATCTCGTCCGTGAAGGTGTTTGCCTGGGTGCTGGTGATCGTGAGATACGGCGGCGCCTGGCACTTGCGCCCCTTGGAGTCGCAGTCCTCGGCGATCCAGTCGTTAAGTTGCCACTAGTATGTTTCCCATTCATACCCGACTGTGACACACTCATGGACAGGGGCGACGAAGCGACGACCTTCCCACCACCGGGAAGGTTCTTATTTACAGAAGATTTTTGCGCTGCACGCGTTTTTCGCTTGTCTGACGGAGGCTGCAACTCAAGGGGAATCGCATTGACTCGGGAAGACCTGCGCTTCCCATCCTGCAGGAATGAGGTCGGTCCATCGACACCCACTTTCTTCCAGGGAGGCGACAGCGGTCGGGGAGTTGAACGGCGCGAATTGTCTGGTCCTGCAAGCTTTCGTCTCTTGGACGGAGGCCCCTCGGTCGGATTGGTTGGGACTCCATTTTCCTTGGACTCGGATGGGATTAAATCGCGATTCTCGGAATCAGGTGAATCGCCTAGAGCAGAGGTATTCAGTAATTTGTCTTCATTTTCAACATTCACGCGTTCATCGTTGTGGTGTGATAGACCATTCAAGCTTCCGTCTTGCATGTCTTGTTACCACGGACGACAGGGGCCCTCTTTGCGGCTGACCCCAGTTTTCCCAACGAGGACGCGGTCGGACGGGATAAATTTAACATTAATAGATAGGTATGAACTGGTAGAGATGCCACAGAAAGTTTGGCATAGTTATCGGCACGATAGCGTGGCTGGTAGTTGAAAAAGCACCTTGATCGACAAAATGTATGAAGGAGTGGTTTTTTCATCTGGTGACGAAGTGTACGAGGAGACGTGTATGTAAGCGCGCCGGGGTCTCTGGCAGCTGGTTGCCTGAGGCGGTAAGGCTCCTAACCATCGCTTCCGCAAACCTCCAATTAATCCGAACCCCGTCATTGCACCTCCACTCCCTTTGAGCGTATTTGCCATTCTTTTGCTCCCAAACTCACCAATTCGGCGTCTTAACACAGCAAAACGGTAAGAATCCATCTCCGTGCCTACCTCAATGTCGAATTCTACGGCCCTTTAACGTCACTAATAGTCACACGCAGATGCTGTCCTCGCGGATTTTGACCCGGCGCCTGCCCCAGGTTGCTGCTCGCTTTACCGCTCCGCGCGCCTCGTTCTCGCAAGTCCGGAGCCTTTCTGCAGCTGAGATTGATGATCCTTTGCAGGTATGTCGTTTATCGTGCCCCGGGTGCTGGATCTTTCCCCAATTGACGCCTTCGGTCCGCTTCTAGAACGGAGGTTATCAGAACCCCCCTCGTGTGAAGCGTGCTTTCAGAGACCCCTACGGCGACTGGTGGGATAAGCAGGAGAGAAGGAACTTTGGCGAGCCCGTTCACGAGGAGAATGAAATCCTCGGCGTCTTCAGTCCCGAGCAATATACCCATGTCACACCCCGCAAAGGCCTGTTCCAGATTGGAGCTTTCATCGCAACCTTCCTTACTCTCTGTGGTGTCGTGAGCCTGTACTACCCTGACAAGCCCAGCGTCCCAAAGACTTATCCCGGCGGCTTGGAGAAGGAGCTTGGAGGTGCGAGTGCTGTTCCGGTACGTTTATGAATCCTGTCTTGGCACTGGTGGCATGAGAATTGTACTGACATTGATATGCAGGCTCGCAAGGCCGGTGAGGACTCTTGGTAGTGGTTTGATTTCATATTGTGTAAATACTACAGTGCAGTTTTTCTTTTACGGTTTCAATCAAAGGTCTGATTGTCAATTCATATAATGCGGAAGGACAATCCTGTGCCTCAATCGTTGCGGGATGGAGCATTTGCTTATATTGCCAGCTTTTAAGGCTCGGGGTTCCTTGTCCTACGTGGGATAGGACATCTGTGCTATGTCGATGTCGATCATTGGCTTGCAGCTGTCCATAATGGAGCACGTCCTGAACCAAAGCACACCAAAACTGCAGCCGATTTGACCGTCAAGAGAACAGGACGATGGATGGAGATCAGGTTCCTAGGGCGTCAAGCTACTCCAGAGGCATCGTCAACTTCCCTTGACTGATAACACTCAAAACCGGAATAAAGAGCAGATAGAGACCGCTGTGGGACACCATACTGAAGTATGTACCTAGGGCAGAGTACTGCATGTACCATTATAGCTGCGTTCATATTATGTGCACCTCAACAATTCACAGAGTGTGATTCAATAAGCGGTCAAAAATAACCATTGTAGGAAATTAGAGATACTTAGCTCGCAAGTACGGCCGGCGCTTTGCTGAGTGGTGCGACACTGTTCGAGGCTCTTGGGCAGAAGGGCCACACTATAACTACGTCAGTTGATCGGGAAGCTTTGTGTTTCAGGTGCAACAAAAACATTCGCCCGCACCCCTTTCTTAAACAAACCCATCTTTGTTCTTGAAGGGTCAACCCCCTCACTCTCATCCCGCATTCCTGATTCTGCGAATCGACCCTTCATTTCGCGGTCTATGAAACTTGATTTGGCTCAGTACGCGCTGGCTAGTGGTTCCGTCATAAATCCTCTATGCATGGTCTCCGCATCTTCCCCTCTCATTGAGTGCAGTTGAATTTTGAAATAGTGAGAGAGGGAGAGAAAGAGAGAGAGAGAAAGAAAATCTCCTCATGTCGACATCATCGACTCAGTCCCGAGGCATCAACCGACGGATTAACAGTCTTCAGAATGAAGTTCGCCATTCCCGCAATCTGTCCGCATCGCGCAGGCGCCCGGTGAACTCTTCGGCCGCCTACAGTTATGCTCTACGAGTCGCGTATCTCACTTATCTTTTGAATCCTCGTTCTCGTCGCATACAGAATGTCTCTGCCGCTCCGCAGCCGCGCCCGAAACGGGCGTCAACCTCCTTCCATGATTTGATGAGCGATTTCTCGCTGGTTAGAGACTCGAAGAGCACGAGGTTCCCCAATGGCTTCGTGTCTGAGCTTGAGAAGAGGCTGACGGGGGTCCTTATGGGAAAGGAGAGAAGGAAGGAATATCAGGATCACCTGGTCGTTAGGACATTCGCCGCGTTTCTCAACACCTTGAAAGATCAGTCATTCAAGAAGCGGATGGAGAAGGACCGCCGAGCGGAGGATCTTGTCCTTATTTTCTACTCAAATGCGACAAAAGAGCTGAGTAAAGGGAAAGATTCAGATGACGATAGTTGGAAATTTATGGTGGACAGACATGTCGCCCTTTTCGTGCGACTGTTTGCGCTGATCCTGAAAGACCATGACTGGGACAAGGACCGGCCTGAACTGGCAAACAGGTTATCAGTTCTAGAGAACAAACTTCTTTCCCAAGACCATGATCTTATGCAAGCGAGCGGGCCGACGGCGACGGTCGAGATCACAACTTCCCTCAGCTACGATGTTAGAGACATGCCTCTCGTGCAGCATGTCGCGAAGATATTCGGCATAAGTACCCACCAGGCCCAATCTGACATTGACAAGAACAGAGGCGTATGGACCGGAAAGGCAGCCCTTCAGGACTTGAAAACTTATCAGGCTCACCTGAATCTCCAAACGCGGAAGACGTTATCCAGGGAAGATTTTGATAACGAGGAAGCTTATGAACACTGGAAAAAGAGCGAGGGCCCGGATTTGTCGCAAATGATGCTGGCAATCGTACAGTCAAATCCAGAGCTCGCAAAAAGTACGCCAGGCGGTGCACTTCCGCAGTTCAATGCGAATGCCGCTGACCAGAGCAACGATCCAAACGCTGCACCGCTATCTCGAACAATGTCTGACCGGCCGGTCTCCTATGTGGTTGACCAACCTATCGACCTGAGTTCTCTGTCGTTGTCAGACGACCCAAATAATAATCCTGAGGAATCTGATACGTACACCTTCATACCGTCGGACCCAAGGTCAATGTACAAATTCATTCTGAGTCTGACACTGAGTCACGACCTAAAGGATCGCGAGATCGAAGCTACGGCAGCTACTTCGGAAACACCGTCAATGAAACTACTCTCCAAACAGTCCACAGAACTGCTGAATGAAATATGCCTTCGCTGGCGAATACCTAGCTTTTCTAGGGTTGTATTGTTCCTGGACATCATAAGAGCAAAGTTCGTGGACAACGAGATTGATCTTGACACTCTTGATTCTGCCTTTACGTTTGTTAAAGAAACACCTCCGTCAGAGGGCAAGAAACGACAAAGTTTTATGGCCTCTGTTATATTTGACAGGAGCAAATGGACAATCCAGGATCTTCTGTTGATGCAAGAGCTGCTATCCTCCCTCCACGAAGCTTTACTCCGGGAACTGTACGATGTAATGATGGATTGTTTTGAAGTTAAGCCTCGTCCTATCGGCCCGGTGATGTACGTCTTGGAAAACCACATACAGCTCGACCCGAACTACACCGAAGACTTGGAAGATATCAATCGGTTCCGCTCCTATGTGCAGGACGGGCTCGCGCAAAAGGCAACTGAGAAGTACCAAGAACTTTTAGGACAGATTGTCCCAGTGGAGGCAGAAACCTGGGAGGCACACCATGTCATCCAGCTGGGCGATGCCATCATGAAACTCGCACAAAAGATACGGAAGCGATATCGAAATAATCCGGAAATTATGGGGTAAGAGGCTAATCTTCAAGTAGCGCACTCTTCAAGACTGACAGATCTTAGGGTAAATCCCTATAACATTCTACTTACAAACATCCTCCCTATATTTGCGGAAGATGCACATGAGATGGTTGTCAGAATCGTGGAACAAGCCAAATCGAGAGGGGAGGATGTTGAGCTGGAAGATGGCTTTGACTTGTATAAACAACTGACAGCGACGCGCCGGCTCTTCGTAGAGGCCTTCCCTGAGTAAGACCCCGTTCATCGTTGTGGTGTATTTGTTGCTAACGCTGGGACAGTGTCACTTTCCCTTTCCACGTGGAAAGTCTTCTGGAAGACTTTGTATGGCGCTGGATTCGCTTAACTGATCAGAAAGTCATGGACTGGGTTGAACAGGCAGTTAGACAGGATCCCTTCACCGTCCGGGCCGGTGACTGGACAGATGTGGTTCCTGAAGACTACCGACACAGCGTGTCGGTGATCGACATATTCCGCTCCTTCAATCAAGTGGTTGAACAGATGATTCAACTTGGGTGGGATGATGACTTGCAGTACGCAAAATTTATGACTGCCCTTTCTAAGTCTATCGGGAAGGGTGTGGCACGATACTGCGAGTTGTTGGAACAAATGTTTTCGAGAGAAATGGATCGGCTGTCTCCTGATCAAGAGGCAGCCATGAATCAGACTACCCAGGAAAAGATAATGCAAATGGCGAAGGAAGCATGGACAAGCAAGGAAAAAATTGAGCCTTTCCAATTTTTCCCGGAGGTAAGCTTGCGATATGATTCAGAGTGCGTCGCCTGGTCCCGGGTATCTGACCAAGAATTATAGTCTCTCGTCAAACTGAATAATATCGAATATGCCCTCTCGCAACTCGACAGGCTTGAGCGTGAGATCAATGTCGACGGATGTGCGGAAGTGATTGCACAGCACGCTGGCCCGCAGCTACAGAAAATCCGCAGATCAACAACCTACGTTTTCACAATCAAGGTGGTGGAGGCCGAAGATCTCAAAGCCTGTGACATGAATGGCAGCAGTGATCCTTACGTTGTTCTCACAGATGAGTATCAGAAGCGAATTGCTAAGACTAGAATCATCTACAACAACCTGAACCCACGGTGGGATGATGCTGTCGACATAACAACACAAGGACCACTAAATATCATTGCGACCATCTGGGACTGGGATGCTGTTGGTGATCACGACTATGTTGGTCGCACTTCGATCAAACTTGATCCCGTGCATTTCAGTGATTTTCTTCCGAGGGAGTACTGGCTCGATCTAGACACCCAGGGCAGATTGCTACTCCGTGTCAGCATGGAAGGGGAGCGCGATGACATCCAGTTCTATTTCGGCAAAGCGTTTCGGACATTAAAACGTACCGAAAGAGATATGACTCGCAAGATCACCGAAAAGGTAAGTCATCCTTCCATAGCCGACCGACGGGTCTTCAGGACATTGACCATTCTTCCAGCTTTCTGCGTACATCAGTCATTGCTTGTCTCGACGGACCCTGAAATCCCTGTTGTCTAGGGGTCTCAGCATCTCTAGTGTGTCTAACTTCCTGAGCCGGAATCGCCCGCAGAACGCTACAACGGCTCCATCTGCTATAGAAGTGGAGAATGCACTCAAACCACTTTTTGACTATTTTAACGATAACTTTGCAATCATGAACAAGACTCTCACATCTGAAGCAATGAAGATGGTCATGGCGCGCCTGTGGAAAGAGGTTCTTGCCACCATCGAAGGCTTGCTCGTTCCTCCGTTGTCGGATAAACCTTCTCATCAGAAGCCTCTTACGATGCAAGAAGTCGACATTGTGTCGCGTTGGCTTGTACTTCTCTTGAATTTCTTCCATGCTGTTGATGAGGAAACTGGTGAAGCCCACGGCGTCTCGCTTGATATTCTGAAATCACCAAAGTACCATGAGATCCAGACACTGAACTTTTTCTATTTTGAACCCACGGAGAGCTTGATCCGTACGTCTGAGCGCATGGCATCAGCGACGATATCACGGCAGCAAGTGAATAAGAACCGAGTGTCAGCGCCACCGCATATCGGATCTGGAGGAACTGGCAGTATCCTTGGGGTTGCGAACACGCGGCGGGTCAAGAGCATCATGCTGTCGCGGAATCTCGGCACAATGAAAAAGATGAAAGAGGAGAGAAGGCGTGAGGCTCAGGCAGAACCGAATGATGATATGATTTTACGGATTCTCCGTATGAGACCAGAAGCAGCTGGATATCTGCGTGATCGAAGCCGTCAAAAGGAAAGGCTCGCAGCTGCAGCTGCAGCGGATGCTATCGTGAAGCAAAGCCTCATGGCAGGGATGGGCGGAAGGATGGCGGGCACTCTTGGACGAAGATGACTTTGGGGGATACTGGTATGATTGTGTCTATTACTGAGTAACCTTTTTCTTGCGCTTGTCGTTTCGTCTGCAATTCTGCATTTTAGCATCGTTCGACTACATGAGGTTTATGATTCCCAATTTTTGTTTGCTTGGCGAGTTTCAGATGCAATTACGTTTATTTCGCGGGATTGATGGTGTTGAATATGAAACCTAGACAGCAAACATAACGAGGATCTAATTGTTAATGAGAACGAAATTCACGGACAATCGGAGCTATTTCATCATGTTTAAATTTCATTCGTCTCTCGTTACGATGAAATTCGTCTATATATAGACACCCTTTTCCAGTGATATTGATCTGGTTTACTGCAGAGCAATGCACTCAATCTCCACCGGCACACCCTTGGGCAGTTGAGCAACAGCAACACAGCTGCGAGCAGGCTTGTGGGTGAAGAACTTCTCGTAAGTAGCGTTCATCTCGGCAAAGTCGGCCATATTAGTGAGGAAGACCTGTGAACAGCCTCAGAGTCAGCACCAACCCCACACTCCCCGCAATCGTCGGATCACGAGGAATAACGCAAATGGTAATAACGCACATTGACCTTGACGATCTTGTCGACGCTGGACCCGGCAGCGTCAATAATGGCCTTGATATTGTTGCAGCAGGCCTGTGTCTTTTCGCCGATGTTGCCCTCGACGAGGTTGCCGGAAGCGTCAGCGGGGATCTGGCCAGAGATGAAGAGCTGGCCGTTGGCACGGATGGCTTGGGACTAAAGACGTTTGACGAAGGGTCAATTGCTGTGTCTTGGATTCATGGGGATTGGTAGGATTGTATGGGGACGCAGATTCTAGTTTCGGGCTTTCGACTTCGGGATCGGGTGCGGGACTTACGTAGGGACCGGCAGCTAGAGTAGCGATCAATTGATTAGTGAATTTGCTTTTATTTTGTTTTCTACACCGGGAGAGTAGCCCGGAAGGTCGATGGTAAATCAGACTTACGAGGGCAGGCATCCTTTGTGAAAACGGGGGTCATGCCAGACATGTTGACGGATTGGCGGTGAAATGGGGTTGTGTAGGTGCGTGGAATACGGTAATGAGCAGAGAATCGAGGAGATGAGGTTATAAGACGAGATAGGGATGAGGAGTGGTATAGGGAGAGAAGACGAGAGCTGCTTTTAAGCATGAGGGGCAGAGGGGTTGTGTGAGGTTAGCTCTATCTATTCCGCGGGAAAGTTGTTGATGGTTCGCTCCCCCACTGACATTCCCCACCAAATAATGTCATAAGAAAGGCGCATCTAGATTATCGAAGGACCACTTAGTACTGCTCGAACTATATGCCAGGTTAAAATGCTTCTAACGCTAAGATAGAAAAGTCAAATGGTATGTAGACTAGTATACAAAGTCATCACATGCAAATCATGACGTCGTTAGGAGTAGCAGTGATTACCGCATTGGCAAAGTAGACCAGATGTTTCCGATGCGTACTTGGAGTCAACTGCTGAGATATTTCTGGAGTTATGATGGCTTGCTTGGCACTGTATTGCCCAATTTGTGCAGGAACGATGCAGTTTGCTCCGGTGAGAACCCGAAGAAAACCGGCCCATTGAAGACAACTTTTGCGGACGAGGTTGGGTTGATTTGGCCAGTATGGAAATAACCGTCCGCGCTATCCTCTTGAGGGGGCCGAGGGGTGTCTGCGGCCTCGCTCTTGCTTGCTTCGTTACGGACGGTTTCAATCTCCAGATCGTGCCTTGGATCGTCCGCTTTGGGAGCATCATGGCCGAAAGGACACCGGCCAGTTCTCATGCCAGATGAAATTTTAGCAGGCTCCGCAGTGGCAGAAAGGTCAGATGGCTCTTTTGGCTGTTTGGCAGTGTCTGAGGGCGGAGTAGGCGGCGAGTGCATGGCAGGTGTGAAAGAAGGTTGGGAAACTGGAACCGGTATACCCCAAGGCCTGCTTGGGGATTCGCCAACACGCACCTCGCGCAAAGGACGGTCGAAATGCCCCTTTCTCTCGTCATCGTCGTCTGCGCCTGGTGCTTCTTGTTCGTTGGCAGAGCTGGGTGTTTCTTGCTCAGGCGCTTCCATTCCAACGTCTTCTGCCCATTTTTCGACTCGTTCAGCAGATGAACTGGATGGTGGCGCGCCGTCCTGGCTATGGCCTGGCAGGTACGCTTGATGTTTGACTGACAAGCCTTGGATCATACTGATAAGATTACCATACTTTGCGTCAAGCTGCCGCATTGTTTGAGAATCTTTCTGGTAACGTTGAACGCATATTGCATGGCTGCGCGGGATCTCATGCTTGTGTCTCTCGACATAGTCGGCAATCTCCTCCGGACTATGCTTGTCCATGAATCTGATGGGACACCTAGAAATAGGGCATCTGGTTGAGCTCGACTTTGCGGATGTCGTTAAACTAGAGCGTCTATCATTCTGTTCAGCTTTAATGGGATCGAGGTCCTCGTGCCCGCACGTATCACCGTTCCGGGTAACAAATGCATCCTCAATCCCGTTAGACTCCCCATTTTCAGAGGGTTTATTGTTAGGCTTCGAAAAGGGACAACGCAAACTTCCCTGCGTGCCCTTGGTGGTGAAGTCTTTTTCTAAGTTGCCTGATACGCCAGCCCTGGTCGCAACATAACATGAATTGACCTCGGAAAGCTGCTTATCATTGTCGGGGCGGTTTATTGATCTGCAGCATTCCAGTCCTTCCTTTATGGCAGTAAGTGCCTCGCTTCCTACGTTTCCAGAGTCTGCAAGTGCCTTGATTACATCCAGGGGATTTAGGGATTGGTTATGGAGGGGTTCGTATTCGGGATGTCGACCAAGTATCTTCTCCGCAACGATCTTGGTGTGTGTATTGGTTTCATTAGGAAGTTGATTTGCTAACTTGAGGTACTATTGCACATTACGTCAGCATATGTGTGATTTGGAACAATGCAATCAACAACAGAGGTTATTCAAAGTCTCATCAGATAATACATGACTTTATCGGTCACCGCCGCAGAAGCGACTCCTGATCTAGAGCTAATTTTCTCGTCATTTGAGACAACAGGGGAGGGGTATTGGCAACAAGAATGCAGGTGGGAATAGAATTTACCTCATCATGTGCATATTTCAGCCTCCGATGGAGATCTCTTTCCTTGCAGCCTAGGTGTTGAATGGTAAGCAAGAGAGCTTCGAAAGATCGAGCCAGAGTTTGCAGCTGCAGATCCTGCTGCATTTCATTGACAGCAGAGGCAGGTGACATATCGCTCTGAGTGAAGATATTTACTAAAGATGAGACAGCACATCTAACGGTCTCATGCAACACATTCTGCTTGACCCAGAAGTGCGACTTGGAAAATTATAAAGAAGCACTGAGAAGGTGAAAGAAAATGTGGTTTTTGTACTGATGCCTGAAGCTGTTTTAGCGTACTTCTAAGCGAACTGGTCCGTGTGTCGGAGTCACGTGGTATATGCTCTCTCAGCCAGTATACCTTATCGGCGTCCAAGGTCGCGAACTATCTGACAAGTATGCTATCATATCTGGACTGTGGTTCACTCGATACCGTCTATATGCTTCGCTCTTTGGCAAATTGTGCTCATGGCGTCTCTGTATGGTGTTTTATCTGTATGCTTCTTGGAGTCTACGTTATAGTTGCTCGTACCGTTATCAAAGGATGCTATGTCCCTACCGATGCCGGACAAATGTTGTTTGGATATGGTGCTGAATGACGCCAGTGAGGTCTATCGACTATATCCGTGCGCTAGTTTGGCTCGTGGCTCTCGGGCGTGTTAAGAGTACTGCATGCATGATATCGCTGACTTGATAATTCTAGTATCGTCGGATGACAAATAACAGAGCCATGGGAATATATATTGCTCCGCAAGTCCCATACAAAGCCAATTAGCATCGCACTGAGCGGGCAATGTTGCTCGAAATCGTACGAAATACAAAGTAGTTGACAAGCTATTACACTTCAGTTGAATATCCTTCAACCCCATCCCACAGGGCAACATGGCATTGTGAATCGTCGAGATCAGATATTTAGCTTCGCGATGCGGACTTCGCGTCGTGTTTATGTAACAGAATTTCTCGCTGGCTATCATTAAAGCGGCAGCCGGGCTAGCTCAATCGGTAGAGCGTGAGACTCTTAATCTCAAGGTTGCGGGTTCGACCCCCGCGTTCGGCTTTCATTTTGCTTTTTGCTGATGTATCTTGCCTCTGTTTGATAGAGCAATCAATTTGCCGCCGCACTAAAGCAGCGGCCGGGCTAGCTCAATCGGTAGAGCGTGAGACTCTTAATCTCAAGGCTGCGGGTTCGACCCCCGCGTTCGGCTTCGTTTTTTGCTTTCCTTTTTTTTTGGCGAATCCATATCGTGGACCACCTATGATTGTTACAAATCCCATCCTACCCCTCTCCCGCTTTGAACCCATCAATGGGCTAACTGTGAGGGTTGAGGACACTCGATGCGTCACGCACAGTCAAGGCGGGCTGCCGTCGCGTCGTCAAGCCATCATCAGGCTGGAGTGGGAAGTATGGAGGAGAACGGCAGGATCATGTGGGCTCGTAGCCTCAAATGATAACAGATGCCTCAGATGACAGTAGCTCGAAGAATCCGATGACCTAGTATGGTTTCTAATCCCACCGTCAATGGCTCCGTAACAGTAGGATAATTTTGTGTAGTGTTCATGTCGCCTCCTAGACCACTTTAGCCGCGACGCTACCACTAAAGCAGCCGCCGGGCTAGCTCAATCGGTAGAGCGTGAGACTCTTAATCTCAAGGTTGCGGGTTCGACCCCCGCGTTCGGCTATCTTTTTGGCCTGAGCAGTTCAGCATTTTGTTCGCCGATCAATATGGACCAAGCTAGAGAGTAGGGTACGAGGGGTAGAGGGGTCTTTATGCGGTCTTGCACCAGCCCCTGACCTTCGACGGTGTCTGTTCGGCACGCTGCTCCGCCACATAAAACGCAAGCGTGCCAAATGGATCGACACAAAACATGAAGACAGTCAGGAATAAACAGAAATAACCGGATGAGGTCGAAGTAAGAAAGGTCTGATCTCATAAGTGTTCCGAACATCGGATTGCCCGTGATACGGCTACAACCACGAGCCCCATGTACGCCACACATGAGTAGTGTGCACCGGACTCAAGAAATGCATGATGGCTGCAGCCGCTGCAGGGCGGGGACATTGCTGTAACGGTAAGTCTGTAAGAATGAGGTATGTAGCATGGTAGCACAGCGACAGGCTTCACAGATGTCATACCAGTCAGGCACAGGACCCTTTTGCGTACTTACTTCTACCACTTTTTGTTCTGAATTGTCCAAATGATATGGACTGTTATTGTTGTTACAGGGCGAGGCATATGCGGAACTATCAAATAGATCCCTGCACATGCTAACTGGTAATTAATTGTAAAGTGTCAAGCAGGGCACATGTATGGAGTTCCTCTTCATTAATGGAATACCAGGAGGAGGTACCTGGTTGCATGCAGTAATCAGATATTCCTATCATTCTAACCACATATTGGCCGGAACCGAGTTGGAAGAACAATGATGGCTTCCTGAAGTGGTCTGCCGAGGAGACTAGATTCAGTAGCGCGGAAACGAGAGAAGCCAGTCCATTCGGACTATCCGAGCGTTGCACGATGGACGATGAACCCTTGCTAGACGCTAAGACGCGTGTTCAGCGGATATTAATCCATTTGAAGTGGACAAGCTGTCCTTGTCAGCATACGAGCGCGATCTGAGCTGCAAGCCACAAGTTGTACGATACCAATGGGCCGCGATTCCTTGATGATTCTATGTCCTCCCTCTCCATGCTTTCCGGATACCACTCTGGCCTTTAGTCTGTGACATTGTATTCACCTTTATACGGATCATGTATGGTATGCATCCGCTTGCCGAATCATGTGTCACTTCATCATGCAAATTGAATGCAGACAATCTGGAGATGATGAAGACTGAGGCAGTATTGATGAAACACGATTGGTCATACATAATCAGACACCTACAGATGTTTATAGATATCGGGAAGATAATCCAAGTTTCCGCTGTTACATATCAGTAGGAGACATCCAATAACTCCGTACTAGCATGCAAACGTAGCTAGCAGTCTTGGTCTCATTGGTGGTACTCGTCCGATGCAGCCAATGCAACAATAACACAACAATTATCTAGTGGCTGGCGGAAGTGGAGAAGCCATATTAAATTGTTGAGTAACTTAAGTGACGATTTTCAGTCCGAGCATACTTTCAGAGTGCGCTAGCCTGACCCTCCACTAGATGGACAGGAAAACAACAATTGAGAGGCCAGCATTCGCAGTAGTAGCGGAGGGATCAGTCCCTAGTATCCACAAGCTTCAGACCGCAAGTCGGAGATGGACACTGTGCAGATACATCTCAAGGACGGGGGCGGAAGTAATGAGTGACCATGAATATCAGTAAGCCTGTTATTAGCACCTCTGATATGTCAGTTGAGATACTGTAACAGGAACCAATATAGCATCAGTTCACATCGCCAATCCTTCGAGTCACAGCATGGAAGACGAAGGTCTAGAAGGTGGGAAATGTTCCATGGCGCAGATGAGGGGAAGGGGCTTTGAATCTAGCGTATCATGTAGTCTAATCATGTTATGGCGAAAACTTGCATAATGACACTAAGATATGCGCGGATAGGAGCATTCTTTGATAGATAAACACATAGACTAATCCATGAAGAGGGGCAGAAAAGTGATCTGTCTTGTGTCTCACAAGGTGGCATGGCGCTTGCCTCTTACAAATAATAATGAAGAGAAATGGATAGGAAAACCCAGCAGGAAAGTCTCCTAATACATTCTCTGTAGATGGGCTGATGGTCAATATATTAATTGACGGACGAGGAGGGATTCTAGACTCTGCTGCCCTGTCGCAATCATATATTATAGATGGAGGGGCTCTTGATGTATGGTTGATCTTAAAAAGATGAATCCTCAGCGTGGAGGGGTTTGTTACCAAAGGTAGTAAGGTAGTAAGGTACCGTTCTGGATGTACTTTTGTACTCGGTGTGGATGGTCACCTTGTCCTCTTTGCTGCTTTTTCAACGATGAAGAACTTGAGATTCATAAAAAAGACATGCACAGATTCTGATGTAGATAGAGTTCGAATCACACATCCATAGTTTTAGTTTATAACATGATTTGAGGTCGAGATCGAGATTGAAATGAAAGAGAAGTGGAATTGTAACTGTGTAAATCCAATACATCCATCCGACCCACGTAGCGATCGTTGCATTTTTTTTTGGGCTTATCATATCCGTCTCGACTTATTTTTACACTTTTTTTCCCCTTTCCCTCCTCCGATCTCCCTCACCCCTCATCCCCTGTCCTCCTCTCTTTTTTTATTTATTTTTATAATACCTCTTCTCCTTTTTATCGCCCCCTTCCTTGTTTCCTCCTCCTCTTCTTTCCCTCTCTCTTCTTCACCATGTCCCAGTCAACTCCCTCTCAATCCACGCAAACTCCAGATGCCGCCGCCACCCAAGTCGCCGGACACCCCTCCTCCCATCCCTCCCGCACCACCGAACTCTCCGGTCTTAAAGTAAGACTCCGCGCCGCTCTGCGCCAGTTCCCCGACTTCCCCTCTCCTGGCATTCTCTTCGAGGATATCCTTCCTATCTTCGCCGATCCGACCCTGCACGAAGCCCTCCTCCGTTGCCTCGAACTGTACATCCTCGAAACACACGGTAACCAGAAGCCCGATGTTATCGTTGGACTGGAGGCTAGAGGCTTCCTTTTCGGCCCCAGCTTGGCCTTGAGACTTGGCGCTAGCTTTGTCCCTGTTCGCAAGAAGGGCAAGCTGCCCGGTCCTTGTGAGACCCAAGGCTACGAGAAGGAGTACGGCCAGGACTTTTTCCAGATGCAAGCCGACGCCATCAAGCCTGGCCAGAAGGTTATCGTTGTCGATGACATTATCGCAACCGGTGAGTTTGATTTGTTTCAGGAAAATAATCTTCTTCAACAGTCATTGACGTGGTTACAGGCGGCTCTGCCTACGCTGCCGGAGAGCTGATCAGGAAAATGGGCGGAGAGCTCATGGGATTCATCTTTATCCTGGAACTGGAGTTCCTCAATGGACGGGATAAGCTCCCTGCCCCGGTGTACACTCTTCTCTCCGGCCAGGAGAGTAAATATCAGTGATTGTCTGTCTGACAATCGGGCATGATTGGATCAAAATGCCTTCTATTTAATGATCTCGCACTCAACTTCCTTTGTCGCTAATGTGGTAAAATGAACATTCACAAACAAAACAAACGATCGTCGAAAAAGTTGGTCCGCTTTTGAACTCGACCGTCTCCGAAGGGGTCGACACTAATGGAGATGACGGGTTGTCGACTGGTGTGAAAAATCTCCGAGATACAGCAGCCACTTGCGTCGGGTGGAGCTTGACCCTACGACGCAGTACAGTACCATCCGCAAATCAAATGCTTGCGGGTCGAGTTTTATGTGTTTTGAGTCCCTACAAATGAGCCGATTCTGCTCCGCCATGGTATTGCAGAAGTTTGCTGAGGCTCGAGCACAAGTGCTTGGCTTCTATGCAGTTCCTGCATCGTCTGAGAGGGCGGAGAGTTTTCGTACCTGGATCTACAGCTACGGGTCAGCTTTGAAAGAATTGCAATGTTGATACACCTGATAGACATATATCTTGCTATATACCTCTGAATCAATGCATCTGCTCGTTTAGATTGCAACTTATACCTGGTATCGTAACCCCGTAGACTCATGCAGGCCAACCTCAAGATCCGAAACTAATTCAACGGTATCGATTTCCTCATAACCTCGTCTGCCCAGTGCTTCGGGAACCCGATCGACTCGGCCTCCCGAATCGCCCGGTTCATGCGCGGGATGTACTCATCCTTGGGGAAACCCAGTCGCACCCGCTCCTCATCCACATACACCAGCACCGTCGTGACCTGCGGCCCGGACTCCGCCACCGCAGTCGCACCCATCCTCAACACGCGCTGCTCCTCATCCAGCCACCGCGTCACTGTCGCCGGCAAATACCACTTGTTATATTCCCCACACCCCTGCTCCCTCGGCCGAACCTCAACAGGTACCTTCTCTCCAAGTCTCGACGGCCCCGCCGCATGATCCACAACTTCATACCCATCCAGCAAGAACTCATCCTCCGGATCCATCTCATACAATATCCCGAACACGGCATCTTCGTCGCCAGATACGGGAACCTCGTCCCCGTCGCTCAGCTGGCGTCCGATCCGCAGTCCCTCCGGCGGCAATACGTTCGCGTATCCGGCCTGACAAATCATCCACCGCCAGTGGTCCAGCCGGGCGATGGCAACGGGCTTGGAGGAGAGGTCAGGGTTGTGTCTGCAGCGGAGGCGCATCTGTGTGAAGGAGAGGTTGGAGCCGTATGCGAAATAGAGGGGTCGGAGGGTCGGGGGAGGAGGTGTCTCGGGTACTGCCACTGTTGTGATGATGGTCTCGTCTTTTAGGAGTGTGGTGTCGACCGCGGCGGTCTCGGTGGGAGGTTGAACCTGCATGGTGGAATTTTCTAATAGAAGTACCTCTCTAGATGACGGTGATAGTGTACCTCTTAGTTTGACTAGATGACAGATAAATTGAGTCGAGGAGAATGAGGAGTCAACTTTCGATACACCGAGGGCCAGGGATTATAAACGGAGTGGATCTGGGGCTATGTCATTCGCCAATCAGAATGCATTTTGGTTGTCGGATTCTGGTACCTGATTACCTAATCGACGCCTTATCTTCCTATCGGATCGGAGAGGCACGTGGGTCCGTCGATAAGGTACAAGGAACATTGTTGCCACAACTAACCGGCTGTTCCTCAGTCCATACGATAGGCTCGATCTGGACAATGATTTTGTTAGTGCTACCACTCGAGTGGTACCCTGAGAATAAAGATAACGGCCGAATGTGTTATGTATCTTGGAGCTGCTCCCTGATTTCCCTGGCTTATTTGGACTGATATGATGTGTTGCCAACATCATTTGTCGCGATCGATACCCTTCTGCTTGCGGACGCCATATCTCGAAGACCTGTCCAATTCGTCCTATGGGCTCTACAACTGTTGATTGTTATGCGTCGCAACCGATAGCATTTGGCTTACGGTAGCAAAATTCCTTAGGGACTATCCAAGTCCCCCTGTATATGGAGCGTGCCTGTCAATGCGCTTTGTGCCGTTGCCTATTGGACTCTAAACGTTCGTATATCGTAAACATCACTCAAGACCTCCAACGTACACGGTAGAAGCCTGAGAAGGAATCTTCATCCTCAAGAAGACCAAGAACATAGGCCGGGGTTCTGATGAGTTCCGGAATGGTTCCAACGTCGTGAGGATCATCGGTCGTCGGTGGAGTCGTATATCCTTGTGTATTGATGGTCTATGCACATCTTCAGACTATGTACAAATTATTGATCGGTATGCCCTGAGAGCGGACCGAATAGCGTCGCTTTATGCCAACACCTGTCGCACGTCGCAGCAACTCATACGTTTCCTCGCCGCCGCCAACCATTACCATGCTAATAGGATGGCGACGGGGAAACCCTCCTGCGGTCATTTGCGGCTCGTCTAATAACGGCCGGATAAGAAACGGTTCAGCGCGAACGGCGGCCAGACCTGCAGAAGGGGGAGGTTTGGACGTTGAAGCCTCCGCGAACGCGTTCTCATCGTAATCAATCACAATGACAAGCTTGAGGGCGTGTCGGGAAGGTGGGTAAGCGGCAATGTTGCGCAGTTTTTGAGAGAAGCCGCAGCCGCCTCGTTTGATGACCAGGACTTGATGACTTTGAGCAATCTCCCGGAAGATCCGGTGGTCACAGATCTCATCGGCGAAGTAAATTGTGGACCACGACAGGCGACTTTCAGACGGCCCCCCGAGATGGAAACAATAGAGGCGTCCTCCACTTCTGGGACGGGAGCCGAGCCTGCGCCGCTAGATACGGCAGCTGGCAGGATCAACCGTACAATAGACAACTTTTTCGAGGGTGATTGGGTCGTCAACCCTGGATTCTCGTCCCGCAGTAGTGCAGACACTGTGTCCATTAGAGATGAGAACACGTTCTTCATTCCGGAGGTCGAAGGGTCGACGCTCCCCATCTTGTTGTCGACGGATGCGTTTTCTTGGATGACATGTTCTCCACTATGCTCCGCAGCACCTCGTTCGCGATTACCATTCGAATCATTTCCTCGACGGAGAAGCTCTGGCACTACGTCAATGACGATGTCAATCATGGCAGAGTCGCGCATCCGAGTGAAATTGGGATCAGTGGGATCGAGGATATCAAAGGTGATTTCTCGTGAGAGGTATACCTTCTCATCTTTGCCCAAAGGCACATTGTTAATCACCTGCACACGGAAATCATCCTGGCTCGCCTTCCCAGTCGCGTCGAGCGACGGCACATCCTGAACCATGCTCAATCGAAGGCCTCCGATGTTCTTGATGAAAATGCCATCCCGAACCCGCTCAATTGACCCGGGACCCATGACCATACCTGGAATGGCTGGGAAAGAGATGTCGAGTGTCGGTCGCGAGGTCATCGGCGAGCTTGTTGCATTGAAGGGCACCAATTCAGGCGGAAGAGTCCACGGGTAATACGTGTAGTTGGTGGGCGACGATAGATCGGACACTGTCACACTAGGATGGTCATGTGCATACTCTAGAATAGGCCCTTCGGTCGGGCCTCTGCTCGGCATTAGATGCAAACGAGCCAAAGTTGCAGCATGGAAAACGTCAGGACGCGCCGCCGTTGAGGATAGACCGAATGTCGGTGGCTCAGGTGCCGACTGGCAAACCGGTAGATTGATCAGCTCTTCATGCTGCGCCTGCTTCCTATGCTGATGAGTGCTGGCACTGGTACTTGTAGGTATAATCAGCGGATGACCCTCGGTTGAAAAGACAAAGGGCCGATCCATGTTATTCAAAGGATGGTCGGGGTGATATAGGAGAAACAGATATTTGGCAGTCTCTCCCAGAAAGAAACTCTCCATTCGATCGTTCAACTCTCCGTTGCGGACGTCCTGTAGACCGGCCCAGCCGCACTTCGCCCAACACCGGCGTTTGAGATCTCGGAGTACCATCTCGCCAACATGGAGATACCATGGGTCCTTGGTGGCCCGATATATGTAGTATGTGGACTCAATGAACTCTGGACGGCCACCGTACCAAGCAAGCTCACCCTCAATGTTCCCGGTGGCAACGTTCCATCTTTCAGGAAGGCCAGAGAATCGGGTCCAGACTGCTGTCGTCAAAAGGTGTATGGCTATGGCCTCATCCAGCTCCCCTGCTATCGAAAGAAGACCTGGATAGAAAGCGCTCAGACTATCGATCCAGAATGCCCGTGTTGCGCCGGTAAAAATATCGCCTTGAATCACATGCGGATGTTGATAACCCTCCCCTCGATATAGATGCCGTTTGATAGCCGCATGAGACTCTTCCCACACGCGCAGGAACGCTTCCGCTGAGTGCTCATATTCACTCAACGGCGGAAAGTACCCATCCAGGGCCTGCCAGGGACTTCTGGGATCATGCGAGGAGCGTTGTCCCGACGAGAGAAGGACGTAGGATTTGAAAGCGTATTCAAAAAAGCTGTCAATGCCAGCGCCAATCTATAGTCATCAGTGTCAGCGAGTTATTCAGTCTAGACAGGTCCCGGAGAAAAACCTACCCCGGTATAAGAATGAACCCAACGACCTGATTCCGCATCTATTCCCGAACCAATCAGTCCAATGTCACTTCTTCGCGTCCAAACAGCCCAAAATGCTCTCTTCGCAAGTTCTTCGTATCGGCCATCTCCGGTGAGCCTGCTCAGAACCGTAAACTCGAGAACTAGGCTGCCTGCACCCGCACTGCAAGTTTCCGTGGTTTCTGAAGAAGCGCGCTGACGGTCTTCTCGACAGACCTCATGATCAGGCCCATGGCATTGTTTGTCTGCATTCAAGGGCGAATTCGCATAGAACGGGCGCCGTTGAACGCCGTACCGCAGATTCACTCGAGGGTATGGAAGACCAGTGTCCGTATAAAACGCAGGTAGAAGGCGTTTTGCCAGATCAGCAGCGAGCCGGAGAAGCTGACCATCATATACAAATCCGTTTGTCCACTTGATCCCATGATAATGTTCTGGAAACGCTGATTTGTTCCATGCTTTGGCGAAGGTGGCTTCCGGTTCCGGAGGAGTGTATCTGGTGATTGGAAGGTCACCAACGGAGAAAAGATGAGCACTGAGCAATCCCCCTACAGCAGAAACTGATGTCAGACACAATAGCCGTTTCATCACCATTGACAGAACAGTCCGTACCTAGCCCTCGAATGACGGTCTCAAAGACTTGTACTTTGCTGTCAAGATCGAATCCCCTTGACCGTTCACCCTGACCAGCAGGGCCATCCGAGCCGTCCCCGTATAAGTTAACAAAATCCCTCACTCCGTCTTGGAAGTGGTTCCAAGCTCTCTCGCCTTCATCCGGACTAGACGACAATATCGCTAACGAGGACAGGCTGTCAATCAGGGTAAGGGAGTAATTTCCCAGGACGTCGTTGAGCTCAGCATTCGAGGGGTTATCACGATCGCGAACAAGCGGACGACAGGATAAAGGACGCAGCTCGTCTTCCGGAAACGCGTATTTCATATAATTCTCGAACCCATGGTAGAACATGTGCTCGGTCTCTTTCCTGAATTGAGCTCATTGATTTGATCAGCATGGCGCTCATTGCAAGGCGAAACGACAACAAGACTAGCAGACGGAAATACCTGAGTTCATTTATCTGAGAAGTCCTCATACCCTGAGCCGTGGCGAGCCATAGCGACAGGAGTGAGACCCAAATCATGCATGCTGATCGAAGGCCGAACATCTGTAAGCTCCAACATCCCGAGCGCATTACCGCAGAAGCGAACCAGCCGCAGATGACATGGAAACTTGAATTTCTCTTCTCGTGAGATAAGTCAGAGGTCTCGGAGGTACTACCGGATTATCGAGGGCCCCTCGAGACTTGAAGAAATGTTGTTTCGTGGCAAGAATAATGTCGCACGTGAGATTTAAATCCATCCCGCGCCAACTTTAAAGCTGGCGGTTGGCTAAGACAGATTACTGAAGGCCAGATATGCCGTTTCCATATACGACAGCAGCGCAAGCACTGTCTATGATTTACTTTTAATTTATCTGATCTGTAGCACAAGCTGGAACACCCGTGAAGGATCCGGGGACTGGTCTTTATAATTTTCATTTTTTGATGCCGACAGTGACTGAGCAGCTGCATGGAATGTCGGCTCTAAACCAAATACACTGATGCAATGATAGAAGTCTCAACATGGGATATCTCGAGTAACAAAATGCGCTATGCCAAAACATTTTCAAAGCAAAGGAGTAAACAGCACGCCATGGGCGAGTTAAGTCGGACGCGATGCCTTACTGACGCACTGGATCTTCCGTATCATGTCGGGCAGCGAAAGGCCGTGGTTGAGCTTGAATCACGTAATCGACACCATCGTCGGATGTGTAACTAGGAGGTCTAGGAACTGAAGGTTTCCTGTTCGACCTCCTTTGTGTGCCGTTGACGGCTGCGGGTGGAAGTTCATCGTCCTCTACACGCCGCCAATAGAGGAGATCAGGGTTAATTCTCTGAAAACGAGTTAATGGCCAGGACAATGCGAAGGAGATGGGTGAGGCACTCACCACACTACTTCTCCATAGACCATATGCTGGAGGGGGAGTCGTGACCTTTTCTCGTACGGCGCCGTCGACCAAAGCTTCCTCATCTCCCGCAAGCGTGACCTGAATGGGGCGATCTGGTTGAGCATATCCCATTGGGCCTACTCTACTGGGTATCCGATTCCTCGCAACAGTAGACCTTGGGTCCTGCAGGATCTCCATAGCGAAGCGAATCAAAGTATGGCAGAAGATAATGGAGAGAATCAAGATCATGAAGATCAACAGAATATGGATTTCTTGACCGAGGTGTGTCGCAGAGTGTATTGCAAGGTCTAGGCATTGTGTTAGCACCAATTGAGCTGAAAGAGCAAGAGCGAATCGGGAACAATCTTACAGAAAGCGATAATAGCGAGCAGGAAGACTGTGGCTGGGATCAATGTGTATAGCCGCCTCCTTATACTCCTGTCTCTGAGGGTTGGCATGCACGATCTTTTCTGCTGACCAGAGCGAGCAGCTTCTCTGCGTGGCCCCTCAAATTGGGTTTCTCTGGTCGAGCGAGCGTCGGACGACCATTCACCGTTGGAATCCGAACTGTCAGCAGGACGTGGCAGGTTGACTGGAATATGCGACACAGGTGGTGTATCTAGAGAGACAGTGGCATTTAAGCCCGAATCACCCGGCGCTGTAGATTCGCCCGGGGTATGAGGTTCCTGGCGTCCAGCGCCATAATCAGGACCTTGGCTCTCGCTTTGAAGATGTGAGATTGTTGGATTGCTGCCGTTTTGGCCGAATGTTGAATTGAGCGATGAATGTGAAGACTTAGTCTGCTGTGTTGTTGATACTCGAGGCGGTTCCATTTCGTTAAAACCAATCAGGCGGATGAAGCATCGGGGGCGATTGAAAGGTCAAGAACGAAAGAATAACTGATCAATCTTAAATCTCAAGTCCCTTGTTTATGTATACCAAGCTTCTTGAACAAAAAGTTGACTCGGTTTTTGATGGTATGCATCCCCTAACCGACTTCCGCATCCGTTGCGCACCCCGTAAACAGAAGTGAAGCGGACTTGGACTGCGACGAAAACCGCTGAGCTGATCACGCTTTGTATGCAAAACCGGCAATCCGATATCGAAGAGGTTTGTGGGTGAGTATAATGAGCGTATTACCAATGTTATACAACTATAGACAAAAGGAAGGACGTAGCGATTGGGAGCACCCGGAGGGGCAACATAAAGTATGGATCCGGATCTTTCGCTCCAAGCCAAGATTTCAAAAGTCGCAGTACTTAGAGAGACAATTTATTGAGTTGTAAGGATTAACTGAATTGGTATATCTCGAATTGCGAAAAGATTTGAGGAGAAAGAGGAGCACCTGGCCGCTCAGCGGTGTCTGGAAGCTAGTGGATTATAATAACGTATGGACTAAAAACAAAGATGTCAAAGTGAAGTGAGAGAGTAGATGAAAGAAACAGAAGCGCCAACAGGAAGAGTCTCAGGAGAAAAGAAACACAAAAGCACAGAAGCCCAAGGGCCAAGAATCTTGGAAGAGCACATCCAGCCTGGCCCTGCAGATGATCGTTAGAGTAGGCAAAATTGCAGCCATTAATAGTGGAGGGGCCCAGACTAGTCGGACTAGAATATAACAACCCCTGATAGACCCACCTGTCTACGTATGACCGGACCATGACCTTGATCAATGAGTATCATGGATCTATTCTGGGATGGTGATGATAGCAGTTGTCCTTGGATGGTCTAAATGGCGTCTGTCCTCTGGATATTTTCTCAGCCCACTCTCTATATTTCTGAGCATACTGAGACCGAAAAGACCGAGAAACGTGCTAGATATAGGTAGATAGGGGGTGTAGCTTCACCTGTCTCTAAAACACTGGCACGAGGCACCAGATGTTTCAGAACAGCTCTCAAAGCCTCAATAATCTCCAGAACTACTGGCCAATGGTCATTGAGCCACTTATTACCATTAATTATATATAAGCTCAGTAATCATGCAGACGGAAACTACTCCGCAGCTTGTTCTGCTATTGAGTAGATATCCAGCTTTCAAAAGAGTAGAATACACTGCAATCAATAAATGTGTAGTATCCTCAGGGTTGCTTGCGTGAGGCTCTTGCTAACTAGATGCACAAATTGTGTATACATGGCCCAGACTATCAGATTAGATTGATATGCTTTCGACGTTGGCAGACATCATGAGAACAAACATACCAGTTCTTGCTCTCAAAAGCCAGCTATGACCTACGAAGTGTCCTGCCCTTTGATGTCTTACAGCTCCTTGCCAAGCCTTCCAAGCCTTGACTCAACCCGTGTCTGAGAGTATAAAAAGGATGAACGCGAATGGAATATCTTTCTGTAGATTGCGCGACCAATAAGCAGAAGAGCTTGCCATATCGCCGAAGAGAGTAGCACTTCATGCGGTCACGAGAGTAGGATTTCAGGGAAGACGTTCGAAACTTGACACCACCTGGAGTGGATGACATTCGCCTCATGACGCTAAGGAGCAAACCATGCGCGTAGTCCAGCATGCAGGAAACAAAGGATATCTTTTAATTCTAGCAGAGGGTCATTTTTATTTTCCGAGCTCACCAAGCATGAGCGTCCGGTCTGACGATCCAGATACAACTGCGCGACAGGGTTAGCCACTGGAGAAGACATGAAACAGATTCGGTGTGACTCACTTATGGGCTCATTATTTGGCGAGAAGCGCACGTCGTTGACGGTGCCTTTGTGTCCAGGAAGCTTATATAGAAGTTTCCCAGTCCTGAAGTCCCAGACCACAACACTTCGATCGCCGCTACCAGCTGCAATCTTTTCACCCTTTGGATCCCAGCTTGCCCTGATCAGGTTCTTCTCCAGCCCCATCGGGGCACCATCGTATGTTCTGATGTGTCGATTTGTGGGAGCGAAGGGCCGAATATCCCAAGTGCGCACCGTTGAGTCATGAGAGTTGGAAAGCAGGGCCTGGGAGTCCGGCGAAATCTGCAGGGACGTGATGGTGTCCGTATGGCCAGCCATGGAGTACACAACAGACTTCTTTCGCAAGTCCCAGACGTGAATTGTATTATCAATGCCTCCACTGTAGATTTCGTTTCCTGCTTCCGACAGAGCTACTGCGGTGATGGGAAGCTCTGTTTCGAGGTATTCAATAGCATGCTTTTGTCGTGGGTCCCAAATCCCTATGCAACCGTCGTCGCTCGCGCTAACCAGGAGCTCCTGGCCTCGTTTGCTGATGTCAAGACAATTTATGATCTCCTCGTGCCCAACGTGGCGTCGTATTCTCTGCCCAGTTTCCAGGTCCCAGCTCGCTAGTGTCATATCCGCCGATGCGGAGAAAATCGCCCGTGAATCTCGCGACCATTGTAAATCCAGAATCGCCCCTCGATGGCCGGTCAGAACGCCATAATTCTCGCATTGCCCATATGTGTTCCAAAGTACTGTCATTGGTAGAAGAAGCGTCAGTCGTGCTTAGTAGAATGTTGAGCTTCAGTTGCGACTCACATATAGACCGATCCATCGAGCCAGACGCAATGTGCTGTGCTGTGGGGTCAAATCGCACAGTGAAGATCTCGCCAGAATGACCTGCGAATGCGGTATTAATGCAAAATCCAAGCCGTTCTAGCCTTCTGCCTCACCTGTCAGCTCCATAATGGGGGCGTCCAGCCCGCTGGTGCGAGGAATCTGCCATAGTGATCAATAAAAGGGCCCTTCAACGTTGCTGAGCAGCAGTCCAGGGGCCACATACTGCTTGCACAAGAGTTCCATTCTGAGATGAAGATTTCACAACAGCCGTCCCAGCATTGATATCCCCGTCGGACTTCTTTCGTTTGACGACAAGTTGATTTGAGGAGCCAAAGGCTGCTTGTGCTGGTCTTTTCTCTCCCGACATCACTGCAGCAGCACGCGTTGACTGGATATTGTGAGAAACCTAAGCTGATACAGAAAACAACAAGATGGGAACAAGGAAAAAACAGCAGGTCGATCGGCAATTAGAAATGGATATGTTCAAGAACAGTCTACCGTCATTGAGCAGTTTTGTCTTTTGCGCAAGTTCCGACAAGCGCCCTGAGTATATTAGACGCGTTAGCCGCTAACCCGCGGACCCATAGTACAACTCCGCCTGCATGCTCTATTGATCCACCGACTCCAGCGGGGGGTGTAGATTATCCACATTCGACAACTGTCTCACACTGAATCATAGAACCTTCAGACTGTCGAGGAACAGATCATTCTATCGGATCTGAGAACATTTGGATGCAAAGCTAGACATGTCGTCCTCTACGAAGGTGTCCCGGATTGGTGAAGAGTGAGTCTGATTGTTTTGTGTTGTCGCATCTGAATGTTGAGTACCTTGGCTAACCCACCCAACATAGGCTCTGGAAGTCAGTAAGCTGAGCGCCTCTACCTGCCCTGGAAACTCTTATTTGCAGCTTGAGAAATTTGTTGGAGGGAAGTGCATCAACTGATGCTGCCAAATCCTAGGACGAGAGTTGACAAGGTTAATGCGGAGCTGGTTACCTTGACGTATGGAACAATTGTCGCGCAATTATGTCAGGACTACGACAGCAACTATCAAGAGGTCAACAAACAGCTGGACAAGATGGGCTATAATATCGGTATGCGACTGATTGAAGATTTCCTGGCGAAGTCTGGTATGGGCCGATGCGCCAACTTCCGAGAGACGGCAGATATGATCTCGAAGGTATGAGATGGTCATCTCTGCATGAAATTTGCATGAACATAAATAGTGACGTGCTCACTGACGATTTTCGCGGGAATAGGTTGGGTTCAAGATCTTCCTGAATATCACGCCTACAGTCACGAACTGGACGAGCGATAACAATCAATTTTCTCTCATTTTCGACGAAAATCCTCTGGCGGACTTTGTGGAGCTCCCAGACGATGGAAGAGCACAAGATGAACTGTGGTTCTCCAATATTTTGTGCGGTGTTTTAAGAGGCGCACTCGAAATGGTAAGACGCAGCCAGGAGGCGGGCATATGCATGAATGTTAGCTCTTCTAGCAGCTGGATTTCTGACGTCCCTCTTAGGTTCAAATGCAAATCGAGGCCCACTTTGTCAGCGATGTTTTAAGAGGTGATGATACCACGGAGATGCGAGTATCATTGGTCCGATACATTGAGGATGAGATGCCGCCGGATGAGGAATGATTTGAAGTCGAGGATTCGAATGGTGCACTTTTAGACTATCAGGGCGTCTGGTGTTCTGGATTTATGCAATTCGAATCATTTCATGCACATGCAATTACGATTATGGAAGAATAACCATTTGTTCTTCGGGGCTGGTCGAAACTCAGCCGGCGCTTCCCATACGAGGGATATGCCTCACGCTATGGAAATCGCGATTCAAAGCTGAATTCAACTAAACAACATTTCCGTCCCGGCATACTTGACAATGCTTAACCATATAAATCTGTCGCCGGTTTGAGAGAGCACAGATGCAGCCATCTAGCACATCAACCTATTGATGTATGCTGGGGATCATTGGAAGAATGCTACCCGACGCTTTGACTGATATTAGCTACATTGGCAAAAGTCACAATGATGATTCCCCATGTAGAATCACCCTTCCTGGAAGATGCGTATATACTAGTCTAGGGAGACCGCGCTTCGCTTACGACCCTGGCCTGACATTAGGATGACTTCCTTATTTGGAACGACCAGTGCCTTCCTGGCAGCCGTCTCAGACAGCTCTCGTCTAACCACGGTCTTCCTTGTGTTGTTTCCGTTCCCCTCAATCTTCATAGTTTGGACACAATCAGTCTCCCCGTAACAAGCAATAGAAGGTCTCGCTGATGAAAGCTGCGCCCGGTTCGATGGCTATGTATACAGACAGTGGTCGAATATTGGGTATGGATGCCAGTCTCAGTGCCTCTTGGAGCTTTGTTATCGCCTCCTCTTCGGCTTTGGTCTGTGCTTCAACAGCTGCGTGCCTTTCTTCGACTTGATTCTTGGAGGAGTAAGTTTCCAGTTATGTAAAAAGGCGGACGAGGGACTGCAAAGGCAATGTATACTCCGGAGTACAATATGGATTGACGTTGCTAGGGGCTGCACAATGACCTGACAGCCACTGACAAAAACCATTGGTTAAATCATGATATGTTAGAGGTACGATCATGCAAAGAATTCAGGAAAGTTTCAGAACACTGGTGTAGGCCCCCAGATACAACCTTAGCTACCTGAAATAAAACAGTTGATAGGCCTTATTTTTGTATTTCTATTTCTAATTTTAGTTTTAATTTATTTTTTCTCAGTTTTTTACTTTTTGGCTGATAACATCATATTGGTTTCCTTCTAGGAAAGATAACCCCTAACTGGGGCTAGGTTTCTTTCTAGATGATCGCCATTGTCAACCTTAATAGTTAGCTGGACAGCCTGAAATATGAATACAGTCAATACACGGCGGGAAATGGATCCATCCACGGATGCAGATTCTGTGGAGATTCAAAACGAAATGATGAATTACAAATTGGCAAACCACTCTGGGGATATCCACGACTATGCTTGTACTACCACATGAACTGATCCGGCAAAGATATGATGAGGAGCGGTTTCCTGTGGTATGATCATCGTGTCTGGGGAAAAGCACCTGTCATCTGATGACATCTACTATGTAGATACCTCATAGGACATCGTGAAGAGGCAGAGGATTGCCACAAGACAGACATGACATCTCAACGTCCGGAGTAAGTAGTGAAACTTTACAGCTGTACATGTCTAATTCGATATGATAGCCACAAAGTATCCATCTCATAGTCTGCTAGATAGCTCCTCTGCCTAGTGGTACCCTATGTGCTTGCGGGTATTGCTGACAGTTCCTACCTTAGCCACTGGTAACGTATTCTCAATACATCTCTTGTTTCTTCCAGCAGACCTCCGGACTGTTATATGTAGTTGCATGCCAGGATAATAATTTCTCTGCTAATAATGAAGCTTTCACCTGTCTCCTGCTATTCGTCACACTGATTCACCAGCTTATCTTCTAAATCACGGAAAAATCGCTCACTGTTATTTATGCTTCCATTACAATGTAGAACAACTGTTGCATATTCGGAACAATGATTTTGCGGGAATCATCCGTGCGATACATCAAAGATATTCCAACCTGCCACTTCCCTCTCTTTCTTTACCTGGTTCTTCCCTCATCAAATTTATTGATGAGTCTCATTTGAGATTCGATCTCAATGCTCTCAGAAACTTAGATCTCTTTTATTCCTTGTTGTCATCCATCAAGTGCTTATCGCCTTAATTTTGTTTTTTTACCATTCTCGCTTTGTAAAGTATCAACGGAGTCCCGTTTCTTCGCCTCTCTGGGTTGCATGCTCAGAAATACGCGAGAACGCAGCATCTCCCAGCCCTCCCGCCGAGTTCCGCTCAAGTTAATCCGCGCCGAACAAGCGATTTACGCCCAGCCGACGTGCCACTGAAGGGTAAGGGAAAGCCCAGCACCACCTCCAGGAACCGCGCTGGATATCCACGTCCTCCCACCCACCAGATCACCTCAGATCCACCGCTTCACACCTTGTCCTAACCTTCGCCTCTTTTCCCCCTCCTCCTCTCTCTCCAACCGTTTCCTCGTAAGATCGGCCGGACTTGCCGAACCCACTGTCATCTCTTTCTTCCAGAGCTCGTCGAGGTATTTCCGTCTTGAATTCTTTCCTTCCGTTCTCTTTTTCTCCCCAAGTGGTGCCCGTCGGGACATGATTTGACCTACCTCCCCTAAAGCGCCGCACCCGTCCTCTCCATCTTCTTGCGCCTCTCGCCCCTTCGTGTCGCTCATCGAAACCGCGTTTAATCTTATCGCGCACTTTCCCCTCTGGCTGTTCTATTACACTCTCTCCTCGCTTCTGTCCCAACCTTACCCGAGATCAATAGATCCCTTAAGAAATCCTATGTACTGTTTCATACTGGTCTTTTTCCCCGATTGCGCTTGAAAAGCATCGATCCTTACAATATTGTCCCCCATTCGCGTCTGCTCCCGAGACAATCACGCTTGCTTTCCTTGTCCCAGTGGGTAGTCATTGTGGTTCTCAATTTGCACTCGCGTGAGCGCGGTGTCTGACTTGCATCGGTAGATTTGTGGACGTTATCTGGAGTTGGTTCGGGCATATCGACTTTGGTTCTCGATCTTGTATTCGTGCTTGATTTGGAAAAAGGGGATCACCAGAACCTTTGTTTGCTGAGTTCGAAGCGCCGGTCACTTCGCCTTCTCCACCTGTCTTCAGTACCCTATACCCACCAGTCCGCACGCGCGCCTTGTCTTCGATCTGTGGTGAGATATCTCGCCTCGGGACTGTGGATGCGCACTGAAACAGAATCTCACCGACGGCTTTCATAAGGGACCAGCAGCAAGCGAGGGTGGCCAAACTCCTCGCAGTGCCACCATGAATCAGATGAATGTGACGGGGATGAACCCTGGGGCTGGGGGCCCAGTTGGTGGTGTTCCTATGATGAATAACGGTTCCACGGCTCCTCGTAACGATGGAAATGTGAACAACATACCTGAGACGATGATCAACAACCTCAACACCTACATCTACGACTATTTTCTGAAACGTGGCTATCATGAATGTGCAAGGGCTCTCGTGAAAGACGAGTCGATCAAATTGAACACTGAACCCCCACAAAAACAAGTCCGGGTCACCGTCGTGAAGACATGAATGGCGTCGAAGGCGATGCGATGATGACCGATAGCAAGGATGGTGACAAGATCAAGATTCCTGACGATCTTCCTCGACCTAATCTCGCGAGCGAAAGTCAACAATCCTCTTTCCTCTTGGATTGGTTCAGTCTATTCTGGGATTTCTTCTGGGCTCAGCGCAAGAAAGGCAACAGCAACGACGTGAGACAGTATCTTCAACACACTCAGGTAATTCCCCGCTTCTCCTGCTGCTCATGGAATGGGTCTAATTGGTATTTCGGTAGAATATGATGCGACTAAGAGAGCAGCAACACAACCAATTGTTACGGCAACAACCGGTGATGCCCGGACAGATGGGTCCGCTCAATATGCGCCGCAACGGCATGGTCCCTGCAAACCTTCAGAAGACCGTATTGCAGAATAACACCGGTGGCCTGTACGTATTCTCTTCAGAGCCCAGCTGTCTTGCGCGAGAATTCTGTACTGATTGAAGATATAAACAGTTCGCAGCAGCAAATCGCACAGCTTCAGAAAAACCAGCAGATGCACATGATGCAGCAGATGCAAAGAGAGCATTCTGACATGGACATGAACGGACACCGCCCGCAATCTCCCTCCTCTGCGGAAAATGCGCCTTCACCCTCGAAGCGGCCACGCCTCGAGAACGGTCCTATGAACGGACAACAGTTGGCGCCCAATGGACGGGGTCAAGGACAAGGCATGCCGGGTCAGCCGAACTCGCAAGCGCTATTGATGCAAAACGGACTCAACCCACGGGCGATGAATCCGGCCCAGTTTGCGGGTTTCCAGCAACCAGGGCCTGCTGCTCAGCAAAAATCCATCCAGGTATATGCTCAGAACTTAGCCCTTCATCACTCACGCTCAGCACTGAATAACCAGGGCATTCCGAATGGCTTAATGAACCCCGGTGTCATGCCGAACCAGACCGATCTGGTGCCTATGCCAGACGGCCAGGGTATGTATCCGATGAACGGCGACTACTACGGCGCGAATGGTCAGATGGCCCAGGTACGGGCTGGGATGCAGACACCTGGCGGTCAGCACGGTAACCATGCTCTCCAGGACTATCAAATGCAGTTGATGCTGCTTGAACAGCAGAATAAGCGGCGTCTGATGATGGCTCGTCAAGAGCAGGACAGCATGTCCCGTGCTGATGGCCAGCCTCCAATGCCTGGGCAGCAAGGCTTGCCTCCAGGCACTTCTCCCCAAGGCAGCAGGGCGGGCACGTCACCGAACCCCAACGATCAGATGAAACGAGGTACGCCGAAGATGCCTCAGACTGGTCTCCCAGGCTCCCCAAGCGCGGCAGACGCCATGGGTCAGAACCGTGGATCGCCAGCTGCCATGAATTTCAACGGCGGCCAGATGCCTCCTGACATGGCTGGCGGCCAGTTCTTCATGAAGGGCATGCCGGATGCCATGGGCGGTCCGAACGGTATGCGTCCACCGAGCTCTAATCCGGCTTTCAGCGGACCTCAAATGGGCCAACCCATTCCGGCTGGAGCAGTCAACCGGGTTCCGAGTGGCAATTGGCAGCAGCAACAGGGCCAGCCCATGGCACCACAACAATCTCCGGCCCAGCAACATCAAACCACTGGGACGCCTCAGACCCAGAACTCAATGCCTCCTCCGCAGGCTCCGCCAGCTGGTGCCAACACTGGTCGGACATCTCCTCAAACCCAGAATGCTGCTCCTCCGACACCTCAGCAGACGAGTAAACCGGCACCGAAGAAGAAAGAGCCCAAGGACACTGCGCGGAAGGTATGTTTTTACATCCCAATCTTTAGTAAATCTACTTTGTTTGTTTTACCTTATTGAACTCGATTCTAGCGGACCACGAAGAAGCAACCCGCTGCCGCTGCCGCCGCCGCGAACACGGCTGCTACACCCTCCTCCGAAGCCGAACATCCTCCAACCACACCTACTCCGTCGACGCCGATCACCCCTCAGCAT